TCTTGCCATGTGAGTGAAAGCTTTAGCCTTGACATAAAAATTGTTAAAAAGGTAACACATTATCACAGATATGTATTTTATATTATTTTCGAAGCTGCAAAGAGAAATAAATAACAGGTCCATGTAAAGTGCACTGGTGTGGATCTCCGATAACAAACCACTGATATATTGAATTCAACTAATTAGTAAAGATCAGAGTCAATGTCCGATCCAGTTATTGAATCTGTGCATCTCTGTTTTTTGCCATGAGCAATAAATTTAAGTCTATATATATATATATATATAATAGTGTTTCTGTATAATTGTCATGATTGATCTGGAACTCAGTGGACTAGTGAACCGGAACTGGAAAGTCTGAAGGGGAGATAACAGGGATCAGTTCAGGGACCGTAGGAAATTTGACTGAGGCTTGAATATTACTGGAGAGGGACTCACGTTTGAGGGTGCTCTTGTCAATCCTTGAATCCAGCTTGTGGGGGTTAATCCTAAGAAGAGGTAACTCTTTTGAGGGCGGACAGATAGACAAGCGTTGGACCCAGAGGAGTAAAGGAGCGGGCTGTCACTTGGATTTCCGAAGAGGACTTGAATGGATCATGTGGAGGTTTTCCCCTGCTCAGTGTGTTCTCAGTTAATCCTTCCAGGGGGTTAGGTATCCAGTTACTTAGGAAGGCTTCCTGCCGAAGAGCAAAAACTAGATAAGACTCAGAGAAACAAAGCTTAGGTTAGACTCAGCTAATCTCAGCTTGGCTAGAGTATCCAAAAGTGGCAAACACTCTGGTGTAGAGCTAGTGACAGCCCACTGCTCAAATACACCTTCAGTAATGATCCAACGAGCCGCAGGTGTGCAGGGAGGCCCAACGAGGACAGTGCACCACCTGGTGGTGGAGAGAGAGAAACACACAAACAACCCACACAAACTGGATTCCTAACAATATCATAATAATTATCATTTGTAATTATATTGACTCTATAAATAGAATATATGATACAGTTTTATATATTCTATCCATCCTTCCATCCTTCCATCCATCCATCCATTACCTGACACCCTTATCCTAAGTAGGGTGGTGAGGGGTGCTGGTGCCTATTTCCAGCTGTCTACAGACAAGAGGTGGGGTACATCTTGGACAGATCGCCAGTCCGTTGCAGGGCAACACAGGAAAAACAACCATTCCCACTCACACTTAAGGAGAAATTTAGAGAAGTCAATTAACCTAACAGTCAAGTTTTTCAACATATTCTCATTATCAGTTCGTATGAAATCGTACGAAAAGTTATGCACACCATTTCTTACGTTTTTCCTCAAAAAACCAGATCAGTGCGCATGCGCAGGCAGACAGACAAAAAAAGCAGACGTAAAACTGGGAAAAACAGTGCAATAATCACTTCTTTATGTCTCTAACAACGTTGCTTGCTGTTTTATATCTTAGGGTTAGGCTTAGGGTCAGGGTTAGGGCTAATTGTATTTAAAATTCTATGTTCTTGAATGGTGCGTAAGATGCGCATATGACAAAAAAAAATGTCCAAAACGTACGGAATTACGGTGCATAACTTTTCGTACGATTTCATACGAACTCATAATGAGAATACACTGAGTTTTTGGACAGTGGGAGGAAACCGGAGTACCCGGAGAGAACCCATGCAAGACCCATAGAGAATTGAACTCGGAACCTTTTTGCTGCAGCAGTGCTCCAAAGATATATATATATATATATATATATATATATATATATATA